TAAAGGCTGGCTAGGAAAGGGTTAAACATGGGTGAAGAAAGGGTTAAAAAAGGGTTAAAAATGGGTAAAAATTTGGGTGAAAAATGGAGAAAAACGGATGGGAAATGGGTTAAAAATAACAAAAAAAACTGGGGAAAAAAGGGTGGAAATTGGGATAAAAATTGGGGAAAAATTGGGGTAAAAATGGGATAAATTTAGGAAATTTGGGTCCAAAACATCAAATTTTGGGATAAATTCTGGAAAATTTGGGGAAAATTCTGAAAATTTTGGGATAAATTTTGGAAATTTGGGTCCAAAACTCCAAACTTTGGGATAAATTTGGGGAAAATTGTGTAAAATTTTGGGATAAGTTTTGGAAATTTGGGGATAAATTCTGTAAATTTGGGGCTAAATTTGGGGCTAAATTCTGTAAATTTGGGGATAAATTTAGGGATAAATCCTGTAAATTTGGGGCGAAATTTGGGGATAAATTCTTTAAATTTGGGGCTAAATTCGGGGATAAATTCTGTAAATTTGGGGATAAAGTCTGTAAATTTGGGGCTAAATTCGGGGATAAATTCTGTAAAATTTGGGGATAAATTCTGTAAATTTGGGGATAAATCCTGTAAATTTGGGGATAAATTTGGGGCTAAATTTGGGGATTTTGGCTCCGTTCCTCCCCGTGCTCCCCCGCCCTTTGCGGGCGTGGCCGGGTGGGCGTGGCCTGACGCGAGCCCCGCCCCCCAGTGCGTCTCCACGCTGCTGATGCTGGTGACGGGCGACATCTACACGCTGATTAATTACGTGGGCTTCGTTAATTACCTGTGGTACGGCGTCACCGTGGCCGGGCTGCTGCTGCTGCGCTGGCGGGAGCCGCGCCTGCCCCGCCCCATCAAGGTCAGGCCACGCCCCCTTGGCTGCTGGGCCACGCCCCTTCCTCCCCGAGCCACGCCCGCTTTGCGGGGTGGAGCCCCGCTCCTTTTAGGGTCAAGCCACGCCCACTTTCAACCACAATCCACGCCCCTATTGCAGTTTGGCCACGCCCACTTTCAACCACAAACCACGCCCCTATTGCAGTTTAGCCACGCCCACTTTCAGCACAAAACACGCCCCTTCTGTGGGGTTAACCACGCCCACTTTCAGCTCCAAACCACGCCCCTTCTGCAGTTTAGCCAGGCCCACTTTAAGCCACAAACCACGCCCCCTCTGTGGGTTTAGCCACGCCCACTTTCAGCCCCAAACCACGCCCCTATTGCAGTTTAACCACGCCCATTTCAGGCCCGAACCACGCCCCTTCTGTGGGTTTAACCACGCCCACTTTTAGCCACAAACCACGCCCCTTCTGTGGGTTTAACCACGCCCGCTTTCTGCCCCAAGCCACGCCCACTTTGAGTCTGCACTCCTGCTCCTTTTATGGCCAAACCACACCCACTTCGGGCCAGTGACCACGCCCCTTTTCTGGTTTAACCACTCATGCTTCCGACCAAAAGCCACGCCCCTTTTGCCACTTCACATTGAGCCCAAACCACGCCCCTTTTGGGCTTTAACCACGCCCACCTCACACTTAAGCCCCGCCCACTTTGGTGCTGTAACCAGACCCCTGTTTTGTTAAGCCACGCCCACTTTTGCCTTAAACCCCTTCCCTTTTATTGCTCTAGCCACGCCCACTCTGAGCTCAAACCACGCCCCTTTATTGCTGAAGCCACGCCCACTTTGATGATAATGATGATGCTTTCCCATGCTAAGCTCCGCCCCCTTTCACCTCAACCCCGCCCCCTACTGATTCCCACGCTCCCCATTGATAAAAAAACGCCTCCTCGGGAACTTTCCCGCGCTAAGCCCCGCCCCTCCATTCATAAAAACTCCCTTCTTTTGGCGCCCCCTACAGGATTCCCACGCTCCCCATTCATAAAAACCGTTACTCCAAACATCCCCCTATAGAATTCCCACGCCCCCCATTCACAAAAAACGTTACTACGAGCGCCCCTATAGAATTCCCACGCTCCCCATTCATAAAAACTGTTACTACAAACACCCCCTATAGAATTCCCACGCCCCCCATTCATAAAAACAATCACTGAGAACAACCGTTATAAAATTCCCACGCTCCCCATTCATAAAAACGATCACTACCAACACCTCCTAGGGGATTCCCACGCCCCCCATTCACAAGAACAATTAGTACGAGCACCCCCATAAAATTCCCACCCTCCCCATTCATAAAAAATCTTACTACAAATACCCCCTGTACAATTCCCACGCTCCCCATTCATAAAAAACGTTACTACAAATACCCCCTGTACAATTCCCATGCTCCCCATTCACAAAAAACGGTCACTACAAACACCCCCTATAGAATTCCCACGCCCCCCATTCACAAAAAACGTTACTACGAGCGCCCCTATAGAATTCCCACGCTCCCCATTCATAAAAACTGTGGGTTTAACCACGCCCACTTTTAGCCACAAACCACGCCCCTTCTGTGGGTTTAACCACGCCCGCTTTCTGCCCCAAGCCACGCCCACTTTGAGTCTGCACTCCTGCTCCTTTTATGGCCAAACCACACCCACTTCGGGCCAGTGACCACGCCCCTTTTCTGGTTTAACCACTCATGCTTCCGACCAAAAGCCACGCCCCTTTTGCCACTTCACATTGAGCCCAAACCACGCCCCTTTTGGGCTTTAACCACGCCCACCTCACACTTAAGCCCCGCCCACTTTGGTGCTGTAACCAGACCCCTGTTTTGTTAAGCCACGCCCACTTTTGCCTTAAACCCCTTCCCTTTTATTGCTCTAGCCACGCCCACTCTGAGCTCAAACCACGCCCCTTTATTGCTGCCCCCCGCCCAGGTGAACCTGGCCTTCCCCGCCGTCTACCTGCTCTTCTGGGGGGCGCTGCTGCTGTTCTCCGTGTGGTCCGAGCCGCTGGTGTGCGGCATCGGCCTGGCCATCATGGCCACCGGCGCCCCCGTCTACCTGCTGTGCCTGCGGGGGGGGCCGCGACCCCCGGCCATCCGCCGGGCCGTGGGTGAGGGGCGGGGG